AATCAAACTATGCTCCAAAAAAAAAAAAAAAAGCCAGACCAGTTTTGATTTACCAACCATTTAACTTGTATACGCTGCATCAGTTGAAACCTTTAACTACCTGGAACCGTTATGAAGTAGACAAACCTCTCACAAAGAACTACTAAACAGCGAACATTACGAAAAACTCAGATTCCACAGCTAAAAACCCGGGAGCACATCGACATGACTAAACCTTACTGATCCCGGTGGATGTAGAACAAACAGAGGGCTTCTGCTTCAACATGCCAGAATTAAAAACTGACAAGTAAACTTGCAGCCGTAAGAAGTTGGTAACCACCTTCACTACAGGACCTCAAATGTCCAACTTCGCCAAAATCTACTTAACCTTTTTGTCCTCTTCCCTCCTAACAGTCTAGATCAGCAAGCTTCCTAAACATGCAATTTTATAAGATAACTCCTGAAAACCCTATGCTCAACTGATGTTCATATTCACATCATTATCTTCCAAACACACCCATCCGATCTTTCTAGCAACATAATCCTCAAATCTTGTATAAATTACAGAAATATGGTAACTGGTTTCTTCTATTTTGAAAAAAATATCACCTTCAATGCCACCTAAACCGAAGACTTGATCATCTCACAACGTTCGCAATCCCCCAAACAGTTTAGCGGATCAGATAATACTAATGAGCGGAATGTAGCCAAGACATCTAGCCAAAAAGATTACCTATTCCACTTACCAAAAGGTAAAGCGACCCTCTTCCTTCTACCACCAAAAAAACAAAATTACCTTAACGGTTCAAGATAACTTTTTGAAAGCAATTTCTAACATACATCAGCGTTTTATTCAAGCGATTAACAACAAAACAATGGATATTTTAAGATACATCTCAAGACCCAGATCATGCAATTGAACCAGCGTTAGATGCAATACGGGGCCAGAGTTCTGCACACTCTTTAGCTACTGGACCAGTAATAGCTGAACCTTTCATTTCACCCTTATTGTTCACGATAACCCCAGCGTTGTCTTCAAAATAAATGACTGTGCCATCTTTTCTACGATAATGTTTTCGTTGTCGAATAACCACGGCTTGCAGTACTAAAAATGAGCAACCAGTACCATATCTAACCAAAAACTAATTAAAACTTCTGACCTTCAAAAACCGCTAAGTAATATCTAGTTGACGCTTATTAATATCCATTCCCGCATTATTTAAGTTTGCAGCGCAACTATTGAAGGCTCAAAATAAGAAAATAAATATAAGTTTAACAAAATATTTTCACAAAGATAACAAAAACTGTTCTCACACCTGACCTACCTTCCCGATCGTTATACCTGAACCTTGAATAAAACATGTAAAAAAATGTATATGAGACAATACTTGAGGTTTTAAACAGCATTATTTCAATGAGTTCCTAAACAAACCTTTTTTACGCAATTCTGGTTTCCCTTTCTTAACTGAAGCAACAAACATGTCACCCACACCAGCACTCGGCAACCTGTTCAGCCTTCCTCTAATTCCGTAGACGGCTATAATATACAGATTTTTGGCTCCAGTGTTATCCGCACAGTTGATCACCGCTCCAACGGGTAAACCCAAAGAAATCCTGAACTTAGCGCCAGATGCTCCACCTCTTCCTCTCTTCGACATTACTGATTACCTCTAAATATTATCAAAGCAATAGTCACAAGAAAAACTATTTTTACATGCCGGTGAAAGAACGCCACTAGTGACACCCACGTATCAGGTTTAACAAGAACTAAACTAAGTAACAGATGAGAGGTAATTTTCCACTATTTTCACTAAAGATTACGACAGTACCTACCCAAATCTTAGCTCGTTTCTTTCAAAAAACCTTATTACGTGAACTAACAGATTTACCTAACCATATCTCTCCAAACTTATATTTTCGTGCTTACTGATTAACTTATTGAGAAGGTGACGGCGAAGAGCGCTAGGGCACAGAAAACCTTCAAAAAAATAAAAGAATTAGTAAACGTCAAAATTTTCATTGGACA